CACGTGAATGCTGTGATCTCAAGTCCGCGAGGGACTAATTGGAATGGATGGCATCACCTTAAACACCCAGTCATAAAACCGCAGTACACTGAGAACGGCAATCAAGCTGCCAAAGTACACATGTCGAGGTTTGGAGAGGTCATTGTTAAATACGTGCAAATCGTAGCCATGTCGGTCAGCGTAGTCACGCTTGTTGTCAATTGACTTCTCGCCATACTTGTCATTGAATGAATGGCCAGCAGATGTCGTCATGACAATAGCTGGAGGCGAAGAGAGGACGCACAGCACATGTGGCTCAATTCAGGCATGGTAAGCTTTTTGGATGTCGCAAAGAACACAAAACTGTGATAGTATGCAACTTTTCCCACCAATTCTTGGGTTTCGCGGAGCCAATAGCAGCGGGTTGGGAGCCTGTCGACACTGGAACATGGGGGGCACTTCAACCTTTCTGTCTTCAAGCAGTAGCTGGTAATCAGCCGCCCCATGTAGCAGTCGGGCTGTCTCATTGGCATCGATGGACTCAGATGCGTTGGAGCCAAAAAGCAAGTGTAGATTCATAGGGTGATTGGCAGGAACACCCTCAGTTGAGAAGTCATCACATGACGGAAGGAAATCGCTGGGCAACCTCCAGCTGTTGTTCATGTGTTTGTAAAGCGGTCGTAGAGGTGGGCTGTAGGGGTGGCTTCCAGTGTCCTCATCTCCCTGCCCTTTTCTTGAAAATGCAAGGAGCTTGGATGGCAGTGTGGACTGTGTCTGCTCCCAAAGCTGCTGACCTATCACGGAGTGTTTTGGCCAGCAATTGGACGACAGCCTCGAAGCAAACCAGCCTGCGCAAACCCACAGCAAAGCAGAGAGGGAGAATGTCTTCCTAACGTTGCCTCCGGCGGCAAGTCGTCGAATGATTGCCATGGCTTGAGAAAAGCCGAGTTTTACATTGCGGGCTATGTACATGTGTTCTTTCCTTTCAGCGTTGGCGCTGAGGTACATGCAGCGCTGGCCGATGGTTGTGCTCAAAACTCGCATCTGCTGCCGGACCGTTTACCCCATCCTGAACGCGAACGATTGGAAAATCGTTGGAACGAATGGAAATTCTGTCATGGTCCTGCCGCATCAGCCGACGGCTCAGCCACTAACACGTGAGCATGTCGGGGTAATCCCTCTTTCTCTCGCTGAGCTATGTTTTGGTGTGAGGTTGAGGCTGCGCACGACGGCTGTGTGGCTGGCTGAAACAAATGTCTGGAGTTGAATATCATGAGCAAGCAACTTGTTGCTAACTGCGACATACTTGTTTCCTGCAGGCTGATCGAGGCTTTTCATTGGATCAGGGCCCACTACCCGTACTGGGATCGCAATGGAGGCAGGGATCACATTGTGGTGGGTGGGCAGCTCCTGGCTGACTGGCTGGCTGGCTGGGAGCCGAGCTGTGTAGGGGGCGACCCTGCCCCGCTGCGCTTCGCTGCTCCCTGCCACGGTCGGTCAAGCTCCTGCCGCTATCGCGCCGTCACCCGCGGCATCCCGCCGCTGCAGCTGTCGGTTCATGACGAGGGCTCCTGCTGGGTGCCTGCTGTGCTGCGCCCAGCCATCATCATCTCCCATTGGGGCCGCACGGAACTCCCGCATGTCAGCGGCACCAGCTACTCACCAGACAACTACAGTGTAGAAATCAGGTACGTGTTGTTGGTTTGTCAAGCATTTTTTTATTAGTTAGTTCTCAATTGCTGCTTGAACTACACCTTGTCATGTACTTTATCAATCAGCGTTGGTCAACTATTCTGATGTGCTGTTCTGCAGACATCCTGTTTTTCAGCCTGAAGGGCAATTGGGCAAACTTGGGGACTTTCCTTGTTATGACCCTAGGAAGGTGGGAATTATTTCACCATTGCATTGTGATACACAATCCCATTGATGCAACCGCAGATTGGACTCTGAAAATTCTACAATGGTTTTGCAGGATCTGATTGTGCCGTTGATGTTCAGCCCGCGCAAGTACTCCAAATCACCCATGTTGGGGGCACCCACTCGCAAGCGGCGAGTGTTAGGTTTCTTTAAGGGCCGCATGCTGCACTCGTCCCCAGCATATAGCCGTGGCACGCGTCAGTTCCTAAACAACATGACGCGTGACAATGACTGGTGGGGCAAGCACAAGATCCATGTTGGTGAAGCGCTGCCTGAGGGAGAGACAGGAGGCTACTCCGAGATGCTGGCTTCCTCGACATTTTGCTTCTCGCTTTTGGGCGAGGGCTGGACGTCACGTTTCGACGAAGCTGTCGTGCATGGGTAGGCTAGTGGTACACTTTTCAGTACAATTGTGTTGGAGTGCATTTACCCCGCTTGTTGCAAATGTATTATGTCCTGCAGTTGCATCCCGGTGCTCGTTCACGATGATATACATCCCTCCTGGAGTTCCGTGCTCGATATAGAGAGCTATAGCATTCGCATCCTCGAGAAAGACATGGTTAAGGTGCCAGAGATTCTAGAGGCAGTCACCGAAGATGAAATCGGGCGAATGCAGGCCAACATAGCGAAAGTGTGGCGCAGGTTGGCTGACTGGCTGTCCATTCAGCTGGAGTTCCTTGCAGCTGCTGCAGCCCCACTTATCCGCCACTTGCGTGTTGTATGAATGCAGGCACATCTGGACAGGTTATCGGCCATATGGCAGTGTTGCACGCGAGATGCTCAATGAGCGGCGTAATGCAACAGCAGCAGCCCCACTACTCTCCAGGCCAGCACCCTTGACAGACTACAACCCTGCAGAAGACGATGCGTTCTCCACGCTGGTACAGGTGATTTGTGCCAACGGTCATGGCAGTCAAGCTCTTGATTGAGGAGTGGGATTGAGCCTATGCTGAAGCTCTAGACGTATCCAAATGGTATGCCTTTGCAGTGGCTGTATGCCAGGCTGGATGACCTGGGTGCCATGCAAAGCCAGCATAGTGTTCTGAAGAGGCTATGATGGATTTTGTTCGAGGATTTGGTGGACCCACTCCCGTCCCTTGAATCCATGCCCCCCTTCCCCCACCTTGTCACATTTTACTGTAACGCCAGGGCGTTCACATTACAATTCGACAGATTTCCAAGACCCCTCGTATTATTCTACCTAAGTCTTCCTCCGACATCCTCCTACCCCCACCTGACCCCACCCGAAGAACCCTAAAAAACCTACACCCGGGGCATGGGACACCCCTAAACCTAACAGTTGCGCACTGAAACAACCTAAAACTCAAGTTCCTGGCTTTTTAGGGAGCTCAGGTAGGTCGGGTCGGGTCGGAAGCGTGCAGGCAGCAGGCGAGGACCTCCGGTCGGTCTGGTCGGTCGGAATTCCCCGTCAGCTTTTGTCGAGCTGGCAGCGCCAGCTCGCACAAAAGATGACCGGAGCTCGGAACAACCTGACCAGAACTCGGACAAATTCTGCCCGACCCCAAGCTCAGGTCTGAAAATCAGCTCGGGTGCCAAAATCAAGCCCCAGCTAGGAAAATCCGAGGGGTGCTGGAAATTTGTGTACAATTTGCACAGCAGACGTTTTTGTTGATTCGTCCTCCCGAAGTACAGGTGGTGCCCTGACGCTGTGACAGACGAGTTTGAGCTCCACTCATGCCAACTTCCAACTCGATGCACCAACTTCCAACTCAATGCACTCGCTCGACAAACTGCCTGCTGCCCTCCCCCTGTCGGCGCCGATAGAATGCAGGATCGTCCTAGCGGCACCCTCCCCATCTACATGCAATAAACGGTCCATGCGTGAATCAGCCCTAGGCTACCATTATATCTCCTAGGTTACTAAATGGACAGTCCTGAATGCTGAAGTGCGGGAGTTCAGTGCGGCCCCAATGGAGATGGTGATGGCTGGGCGCAGCACAGCTGGCTGAGCCCTTGTCGTGAACAGCTGCAGGCTGCAGGCGACAGCTGCAGCGGCGGGGTGCCGATGGCGACGGCGCGACAGCGGCAGGAGCTTGACCGACCGTGGCAGGGAGCAGCGAAGCGCAGCGGGGCAGGGTCGCCCCCCACACAGCTCGGCTCCCAGCCAGCCAGCAGTCAGCCAGGAGCTGCCCACCCACCACAATGTGATCCCTGCCTCCATTGCGGCCCCAGTACGGGTAGTGGGCCCTGATCCAATGAAAAGCCTCGATCAGCCTGCAGGAAACAAGTATGTCGCGGTCAGCAACAAGTTGCTTGCTCATGATGTTCAACTCCAGACATTTGTTTCAGCCAGCCACACAGCCGGTTTGCAATTGTGCGCAGCCTCAACCTCACACCAAAACATAGCTCAGCTAGAGAAAGAGGGATTACCCCGACATGCTCACATGTTAGTGGCTGAGCCGACCCGTGATGCGGCAGGACCACCATGAAAAAATGCACAATTGTTCGCATTCAGGATGGGGTAAATGAGGCAGCAACTGTAAAGCTCAGGTTAGAGAACTTATAGACATGCGGAAAGCAGAGCGAGTGATCAAGCGATGACACACATGCAGTAGTCTCAAAGACTGGCAGATCATTTTGCAGGTGCAGCTGCAAAACAGCGCAGCCATGGTATACGGTGCAAGCAGACAGCGATGGATAATGCAGAGAACGACCAACGCCTGGTGCGGCAAGGTGCCCGGCGGCGGCGGCGCCGGGCGGCGGCGGCTGCAAGAGTCGGCCGTTGCCTTTCGCCGTACACTACTCGTGCATGCGGGCTCAGGTTCACCGTGCCTGCGCCCGAAGCCCTGCAGGCACCCGGCGTTATGCGGTGCGCCTAACTCGCCTGAACGGCAGGGACTGGTCCCAGAACCCACATTGCACAGATCTGTTCGATGTAGCCTGAACGGAAAGAGGCGTACAGCTGGGCGCTGATAAAAAGCATAGATTTAGAAGCGGAGCTCTTGCTTCATCGATGAGCCTACTTTACGCTCCTCATTCACATCGCTGGGGTCGTGGACCACATCTTCCTCGTTCCGTATTGCGAGCCAGCTGCTTGGCGCAACCCTGTGCAGGCCCCGCTCCCGGCGGGGCAGCTTGTCCCGATGTATGGCTTGGAGGACGAGGGCCTATCCCCCTCAGCGGCCGCTGAAATCGACGATCAGGACGCATGGTGCGCAGCGCCTGCAAGCTCCCGTCACTCTATGTGTTGCTGTAAACGCGAGCTTGTGACGGCGCCCGAGCTGCACCAGCTGCAGCCGGGTGCCGTCGCCGCGATTGCCGCCCGCCGCTAACGCCGCCTGCAGCCCTTTCTCGCGCCGACTTGCTTGCGGGTCTGGCAAAAGGCTGGTACTGTTATCCAGCGCACCCCTTTGCACCCGCAGGGCCGTCATCTCAGCCTACTTTGAGGAGAAGGGCCTGGTGCGGCAGCAGCTCGACTCCTTCAACGACTTCATCAACACGTCGCTTCAGGAGATTGTGGATGAGAACAAGCTGATCTCCATCACGCCGCAGAGCCAGCACGTGCCGGGCATGCAGGTGGAGGACGATGTGGAGAAAATATTCGAGGTGGGTGGGTGTCGAGGGGGAATGCATGCTGATGACTGGAAGAATGAACTCTTGATGAATACATGCGATGCGGCGCAGGTGGAGTTTGGACAAATCTACTTGTCCAAGCCAGTCTTTATCGAGGCTGATGGGGAGACGGCGGTGCTGTTCCCAAAGGAGGCGCGGCTGCGCAACCTCACCTATGCAGCGCCGCTTTACGTGGACATTGAACGGCGGGACAAGGTGCCAGCCGCTGCCCCTGCAATACTGCAGACCACCTACGCGCTGCTTCTTGGCTGGCCTGGCTGCCATTGTGCCTGTCTTTTGCGATGGTTGTGCTGGCTGTTGGCGCATGCAGGTTGTACACTCGGATGGCAGCGAGGAGGTGGAGGTCACCCCCTACCCCAAAGTGTTCCTGGGCGATGTGGGTGCTGCTGTATTGTGTTTCGTGGTGCCGCTGCAGCCATAGTCCACCCAGCATGCACTGAGCGATCGGCCTGGTGCAGCTCTGCAGACCCATTACTATCTGCGCCATTTCCCCTCGGAACCTGCAGGTGCCCATCATGCTGCGCTCAGACTATTGCAACCTCAGCGGCCGAAGCGAGCGCGACCTGTGCGATCTGGGGGAGTGCCCATACGACCAGGGCGGCTACTTTGTGATCAACGGCAGCGAGAAAGTGCTGATTGCACAGGTGCGTGCGTGCGTGGCAGCACGAGGCTCAGCCAGCGACACGGGATTACCCCTGTTGCTGAGGGCACGGTGGCTGAGTTTTGTAGCACTGGTGTATGTTGTGTGCTGCAGGAGCGGATGGCCAACAACCACGTCTATGTGTTTCGCAAGAGCCAGCCCTCCAAGTATGCCTATGTGGCAGAGTGCAGGTGAGTCAGGCGAGGGCGTCAACAGTGTGACCGCAGCTTCTCATTCCCTGTTCATTGGTTGTGCATGCTTTGCATCGCAGGTCGGTGGTAGAGGGCAGCACGCGCACAGTGAGCACGATGCAGGTGAAGATGCTGTCGCGGGCGGGGCAGAAGGGGGCGGGGCAGTGCATCCGGGCCTCCATCCCCTACGTGCGTGCCGACATCCCCATCCTCATCATCTTCCGCGCCCTGGGATTTGTGGTAAGCCGTACCACTTCGTGTTTGCTGTCTGAGTGTTTGCCAGCCCTCCCCATCCATAAGTGTCTATCTGGACACGTCCGCTCCCTTCGCATAGGCCGATAAGGACATCCTGGAGCACATTGTGTACGATTTTGGGGACACCACGATGATGGAGGCGCTACGACCGTCCATAGAGGAGGCCTTCCCCATCCAGAGCCAGGTGTGGGGCGTCAGGAGGCCGCACTCTGCATGCCTACCAGCTCTACTCTCCACGCGCATGCCTGCCAGACTTGTTGCTTAAGGCCGCCTATGCTTTGCAGGAGGTAGCATTGGACTACATCGGCAAGCGTGGCAGCACCATTGGCGCCACACGCAATGCACGCATTCAGTATGCACGCGAGCTGCTGCAAAAGGAGCTGCTGCCACACGTCGGCATGGAGGAGTTCTGTGAGACCAAGAAGGTGGGCTTGACGCGAGTTGTGTAGTGTGGTCCGTTGGTTGGTGTCAGTCAGCAAAATTCTGCCGACCGTTGTATCAGTGGAACTCTGTCAGACCGTTGTTTCATGCCTGTTCATTTCCACTGCTCCGCTTTCAGGCCTACTTTTTCGGTTATGTCATACACCGCCTGCTCCTGGTGGCGCTGGGCCGGCGCGAGGAGGACGACCGCGACCACTACGGCAACAAGAGGCTAGACCTGGGTGGCCCACTGCTGGCCAACTTGTTTAGGCAGCTTTTCAGGTGAGGAGGCGGTGCTGCTGGTGTTGCCCAGAGCATTGCCTAGGCGCTGGAGGTTTGGACCAGGGCAAGCTGCATATTGTTGTTTCCTTCTGCAGGAAACTGAGCAAGGACGTTCGGGGTTATGTGCAAAAGTGTGTTGACAAGGGCAAGGAGATCAATCTCACCTCTGCCATCAACAAGGACACCATCACTCGCGGGCTCAGGTTTATGCGGTGCCTTGGTGTGCATTTTGAGGAACGAATGGTGTTCGTGAACTGTCTGGCGTGGCTGGACTATTTCCTCATTCAACAATGCCTTTGCATAAATACCGCTGCAGGTACTCACTGGCAACTGGCAACTGGGGTGTGGTGGGCGCGGGCGAGGTGCGGCCGGGGGTTTCGCAGGTGCTCAACCGCCTGACCTACGCCTCCACGCTGAGCCACCTGCGGCGCATCAACTCGCCCATCGGCCGCGAGGGCAAGATTGCCAAGCCACGCCAGCTGCACAACAGCCAGTGGGGCATGATCTGCCCCGCAGGTATGCACAGGCCATTACCTTTTGTGCTACATGTGTGGGTCATATCCGCAAGAGATGAGCAGCATTTTTGACTCTGAACTACTTGGTAGAGAGCCAGCCTGGACAATCATGGTGGTTCACTGTCAGGGTTGAATAGCCGGTGCACTGCTGCATGGCTTGCCTGCAGAGACGCCTGAGGGGCAGGCCTGCGGGCTGGTGAAGAACCTGGCGCTCATGACGTATATCAGTGTTGGCTGTGCCAGCAATCCCGTGCTCGACTTTCTGCAGGTATCAATGAGTCCAATTGCACTTCCTCCCTCTTACCCCTTTCCATCCCTATTCATGGTGCTCTGGTCCATGTTTGAACTGCTCATTCAGATCATCAATCACTGCTGTGTGCCTTGCTGTGTGCCGCTTGCGTCACTGTGCAGGAGTGGGCCACAGAGGACCTGGAGGAGATCTCGCCATCGGTCATTCCCAAGGCCACCAAAATTTTTGTCAATGGTATGGCCTTTTACGGCCCTGTCTTTTTCGGCATCCCCAACTCTCCTGGTCAATTGTTCGCTGTTCCCTTGATTACCTTATTTGTCTGTGGCCTGCACTCGTTCCAGGCGTGTGGGTGGGCATCCACCGCGACCCGCAGACGCTGGTGGAGACGCTGCGCGCAATGCGGCGGCAGGTTGACATCAGCACTGAGGTCGGCGTTGTGCACGATATTCGGCTGCAGGTGGGCGGATAATCAGCCTGTATGGGTGGAATGCACACGATTGACAGGTTACTTTGGTTTTGATGTTGGTGCGCAGCTCTACTTTGCGACTCCTAAGGTTACAAGTTGCAATGCGCGATGCAGGAGCTGCGGTTGTACACCGACTATGGGCGCTGCTGCCGGCCGCTGTTCATTGTGGAGGACCAGGCCGTCAAGGTCGGTGAAGGTCGGTGGGAGAATGCACTTGCAGTAGTTCATATATCATAGTTGCTCGCTAGATCCGCTGCAGGTCAAAAAGCGAGACATCATTAACCTGCAAAACCGGGAGGAGACGGGGTTCACGTGGCAGAGCATGATTGAGGCAGGGTACATTGAGTGAGTATGAGTGTTACACTGTCGGGCTGTATGTGTTTGGGCAAAGGATGTTTTGGGCAAAAGGATCACTGTTTCAATCCGTATACGCCATCGCATCGCCACTGCCGCGTAGATACGTGGATGTCGAGGAAGAAGAGACCACCATGATTGCCATGTTCATCAACGACCTGCGCCTAGCGCGCATAGGTGGGTACTTGCTTGCGCCTCATCGTTCTTGCTGCTTATTGCCCCCAACCCTTGCCTTCGCTAATGCCCTTCCTTGCAGCGGAGGATGCTGCCACCGCCAGCAGCATTGCGTTGTACACACACTGCGAGATCCACCCCGCCATGATCCTGGGCGTCTGCGCATCCATCGTCCCCTTCCCAGACCACAACCAGTCGCCCCGCAACACATACCAGAGTGCCATGGGCAAGCAGGCCATGGGTGGGTCTGCCACCCGCAGTGCTGGTCTTCACATTCCACAATATGTGTGTGTTTGTGTGTGATGGTAGATTGCACAATTGGTTGCTCTGGGAGCCGCATGACCTGGGCCATCCTCCGCTTTCGTTTTCTTGTTCTTGCAATGCGGTTTGCCGTTGCCCCATCCCCTGCTACTGCAGGCATGTATGTGACCAACTACCAGGTGCGCATGGACACCCAGGGCTATGTGCTCTTCTACCCGCAGAAGCCGCTGGTCACGACACGCAACATGGAATACCTGCACTTTCGGGAGCTACCTGCTGGTGCGCCAGTTGGTAGCATTACTCTGTGTGCTCAGGCTGTAAATCAACAGGATGGCTGTCATTTCTTTTTAAAACCCATCACCAAGTATGCCTCTGCCACTCTGTGCAGGCATCAACACCATCGTGGCCATTGCCTGCTACTCGGGCTACAACCAAGAGGACTCCACCATGATGAATCAGTCGTCCATCGACCGCGGCATCTTCCGCTCCATCTTCTTCCGCTCGTACAAGGTGTGGATGCCGGGTGGGGTCTTGATATGCGATCCATTTGAGTGTGTAGGTGTCCCAGCATGCGCCCTGGATACATTGGATGGAAACCCTCGCCATATTGCCCTGCCCACCTGCAGACGGAGGAGAAGAAGCAGGGGTCGCTGGTGCAGGAGTCAATCGAGCGCCCTAACCGCGAGATCACCGCGGGCACACGTCACGGCACCTACGACAAACTGGATGATGACGGCATTGCACCGCCCGGCACACGTGTGTCAGGTGGGTGGGCTGAGGAGCGTACAGTCGCCAAAGATGAGTAGGTCGTTTTGGTGCCCGACAACACGGAGCGTCGTCGCCGCCACTTCATATCCTTCCCAGGCCGATTCGGCTGTGTTTGTGCAGGTGACGACATTGTGATTGGTAAGACGAGCCCCATTCCTGATGATGGCAGTGGCCTGCCCCAACGGTACAGTAAGAAGGTGAGAGCGACTGTAGGCATGACCGCTGCACTCTAAGGCTCCGCTCGACATGACCACAACAGTTGTGTGTGACTAATGGACCTTAACATGGTGTGGTTCAACACGTTTGCTGTAGGATGCCTCCACTGCACTACGGCACAGCGAGAGCGGCATGATAGACTCGGTGCTGGTGACTACCGGCGCAGATGGCCAGCGATTTGTCAAGATGCGGGTGAGCATGGCTAGCTTGCTGATTGACACATGTTGTTGCAATGAAATGAAATGATGCACGTTGGTTGCTGCATACCTATCCACTGCTCACTACGCTGTGCATCTTGCCTCATCAGATCTGCATGTCCACCAGTACCGCAGGTACGCTCCGTTCGCATCCCTCAAGTCGGTGACAAGTTTGCGTCGCGGCATGGGCAGAAGGGGACCATCGGAATCACCTACACACAGGTTGGTGGCCATTACGGGAACAAGCAAACATCCCATCCCTCTGCACAGGCTCAAAGTAGGCAGTTCAATGCAGGCATCCATCTTTGCCTGCCATCTATATTTGCTGCTGTTGCGGCTGCAGGAGGATATGCCATTCAGTGCGGAGGGCATCTCCCCCGACCTGATCATCAACCCCCACGCTATCCCCTCCCGCATGACCATCGGCCATCTTGTAGAAGCGCTAATGAGCAAGGTGCACTAGGGGAGGACAAGAGGGCCAGCTGTATGCTACTTTGCTGTCCACGGATCACAGCATGGGTCAGAGATCAGAGATGTGGCTTGATGCAGGTTGCGGCATGCATGGGCAAGGAAGGCGATGCTACCCCTTTCACGTCTGTCACGGTCGACAACATTTCAGCGGCCCTGCACAGGTGGGGCCTGACCCTTGATGCAGCATTTTGCCACTTCAGCACAGCTATGCCGACAGAAGGCTGCTTTGCGCACCGCATCTTGATCGAATGTCGTCCTCCCGTCCCACCCTCCCGCTTGTGCGCCTGTGCCGCAGGTGCGGGTACCAGAGCCGTGGCTGGGAGGTGATGTACAATGGACACACTGGGCGGCAGCTGCAGGCGCAGATCTTTCTCAACCCCACCTATTATCAGCGTCTCAAGCACATGGTGGACGACAAGATACACTCGAGGTGCGGACAGGCACCATGAGGATGGCACAGCTGCATTACCACAAGCTGCGCAACGCCTCGACCACAATGCCCTGCCTGCCTGCTTGCTTGCTGCTTGTGGTTGCAGAGGGCGAGGGCCGGTGCAAATCCTGACTCGGCAGCCAGTAGAGGGACGCGCTCGTGACGGCGGCCTGCGCTTTGGAGAGATGGAGCGCGACTGCATCATCTCACACGGCGCCGCTGCCTTTCTCAAGGTGCACCTTGTGGCAACTCTGGGCCTGCGTTTGCTGTGTCGCCCTTTTCTTTGCCACTCCGCCGGGCCTACCTCATGCTCTGTTCTCTCTTTGTCTGGTCTCCCTCATGCTGCAGGAGCGCTTGTACGATCAGAGCGATGCCTATCGCGTGCACGTTTGCTCCGTCTGCGGCCTGATTGCGGTGGCCAACCTCAAGAAGAACCAGTTTTACTGCACCGCCTGCAAGAACACCACGGGCATTGTACAGGCATGCGCGCCCTGGGCATGGCCTGGTATCACCAGCTTGTTGCCGTCAGTACTTGTGGGCTCGTTTTAAGCACGTGGTCTGCTGGGCTGCAGGTCTTTATCCCATATGCCTGCAAGCTGCTCTTCCAGGAGCTGATGGCAATGTGCATAGGTGCGAAGTTTCCTATTGGCTGCAGTGCCGCCGCCCCCTGCCTCCTCACCTCCTTGCACCACTGTGTTGGCTGCAGCGCCGCGCATGATCGTAGACTGACGATTCTAGGCGTATGTAGCTCTGTGCGTCTCCTCAAGGGTGTGCGTCCAAAGACGTCTCCAGTTCTACTGAAGTTCTCTCGCTCTCTTCTCCTCCCTGCTCTATCCCATTTCTGTTCCGGCTTGTTTCCTGATTTCTGCTTTTTTGTCTCACTTTTTTGAAAGGGAGACATTGGCATAGAATGGAAGCCAACTTTCCAATTGCCGGTTCTCGCGCCTCGGTACGCGGCGCCGGCCGTCGCCGCCGTCCGTAGGCTGCGAGGTTGGCCCTGGGTGGGACGCTGGGGACAGGGATGCCGCCGAGGGCCTGTGGAGGCGGGGCTGGGGAGGGCGGAAGCTACCGGTGCTAATGTTTGCCCCTGAGGACCCGGGTGGCGGCCGCTTCGCCGCTCTCGCCCGTTTGGGGCCGCCGGCGCCGGGGCAAAGGGATGCTGTGGGCTCTGGTTGTTCTCTTGTGTTCGAGAGATTGCTTGTGGCGAGCTGGGATGCGCTGGTGCGGGTGTTAGGGTGCAAAATAGGGGATCATGCCGTTTTATAAAAACCTTTATAAAGTTTTCGAAGCTGCTACCTCATGCCTAATCCTAATAATGCTGAGCGGCACTGTGCTGGCACATGGGCCCTCGTTTCTGAGGTCGTAGTTGTTGTGTGGGTGGAGGGCGGCGGTGGCCATGCAGGCGGTGCGTGAGGACGGCTGGTCGTGGCCGCCGGCAGCGCCGCTGAGTGGGGCTGGGTGACAGAAGGCGGTGCTGACAAACATTCTGTTTACCAAATCGAGCCCTGCTATTCCAGTTGCCTAGGCAGGTGTTCAATTGACACTTTCACATTGCACAATTGAACACCAGCTTGGGATCACAGCCTTTATAAAATACACGTTGCAGGCCTGGCTGGCAACAGCTGTCTTGGGAGCGGTCTTCCTTCAGATGTAGGCAAGTCAGATAAAATAAAGTGAGACCCCGCTCCGCAGGAGTAACTCGTGCTTGCATCTCTGCTCTGCTGCCTTTTTCCTGGAATCCACCGCAACACGCCCAATGCAAAAAGATGGCGTTGAGGGAGCCCTTCTAATGCCTTGCCTCTGGTGATGAGCAAGTTACATGGCATGCGTGCACGCATCGCAGAGACAGATGGGATGGTGTTCTTCTCGGCTGGCCCTTTGGACGCGGCACACATGGTGGGGCTGCCCAAGTCCAACTGGCGGTAAGCACAGCTCATGCCAGGGTGGAGGCGTAGTTGGCGTAGAAGCTGCAGGGGGGCAAGTGGAGTTGCAGGGAACATAAGTTAGGGGTGTTTTCAACGTCACCCTAAATAAGCACATGTAATACAAGTGAAGAAACACGCAAAGCAAACGATGCCGCACAGGTTTGACGCCGTTTCGTTTAGGCCAGCACGCCCCGCCTCAACCCCGGGCTTCTTCCAGACTTACTTAAACTCGCCAGGCTCCTCAAGATGGGTCAGCAGGTTGTCCAGGGGACCCTTGCCTGCAGTCCAGACACAATGCTGTTAGCGAGGACAAAGCAACAAACTGTGCATGGTTGTGAGCTGCTTCTGGCCCTGCAAGTTGCTTGTGCCAGCTCGCCTGTCACGATCGCCTGCACGAAGAAGCCCAGCATGGACATCATGGCCAGGCGGCCGTTCTTGAGCTCCTTGACCTTCAGCTCCGCGAGGGTGTCGGGGTCGTCAGCCAGGCCCAGGGGGTCGAAGGCGCCGCCTGCAGGCACACCAGGTCAAGATGGGGGACGCAGCGACACCAACCTGCCTTGTTCCACTGCTGCCGTGCAACCTCGACTTCCTCAGCTCGACATGTTCGGTCACCCACTCACCGGGGTACAGGTTGTCCTGGCCCTCGCCAAAGCCGCTGGGGCCCTCACCGTTGGCGCGGTAGATCTCCACGGCGCCCATGAGCAGCACCTGGACCACCAGCGTGGCCACGATGCTCTGCGCATGGACCAGGCCGGGGTTGCCCAGGTAGTTCAGGCCGCCGTCCGCAAAGATCTGTGCGCCGGCCTTGAACCACACGGCCTCGCCAAACTCCACGCCGCTGTACTTCTCGAGCACCTCGGGGAAGATGCTGCGAGCATTGGATGGCGATATATCCAGCGAGTGATGTGCAGCAGGCCGGCAACACAAAGAACGCTGGCGCGTCCCCCTATGTGGCAGGCATCCTCCAGCTGCCCCTCACCAGCCCAGCGCGCCGAGCATGGCCCAGCGGGCGTGGATGACCTCCACGGTGCGGAAGCGCTTGAACGTCTCGGGGTCGGCGGACAGGCCGGAGGTGTCCCAGCCGTAGTCGCCGGGGAACTCGCCAGTCAGGTAGGCGGGCACCAGGCCATCAGAGAACGGGCCCAGGAACTTGGGCCGGTCGGGGCCTGCGGGAGGACGGGTGGTGGGTTTTGATGCAGCGCACTTGGCGGACTCTGCTCGTCCCTCCGTCCTTGGCAGCCTGCAGCTTAATCATGCCCACTCACTCACCGTACCACACGCTGTCGCTCTTGGAAGGCTTGGCCTGCAGCGCAACCAATCGGCGGCGAGCGGCGTTCAGAAAATAGCGTCATCTACACACAACAAGGCAGGGCTTTGCCTCCGGCCAGAGGCATTGAGTCCACGGGTATCAACTGACCTTCACGGTGCGGCGCATGGTGGTCGCGCGGCGCTGCATGAAGGTGGGACAGTGTGGGGGCGCTCAGCGCCCAGCAGCCTTCCCCGACCGGCGCGCCTGCCGCTGAGAACTAACATCGTGCATGTGCAGCGGCGAGCCAGGGGGTGGGACAGCAAAGAGCGCCACACAGAGCTCGCACTCACGGTGGCGGACGCCACAACGCCGGTGCGGGCAGCGACGGTCTGCATGATGGCCTGGCTTGGGTGAACCTTGGGGCAGGGACTGACTCAAGGATGGCAGTGCGGGGCGGGCCTCGGCTTACAGGGGATCGGGGCTTATCGCGAATTCTTTCCACCCAGGCCAAACTAATTCCGCTTTTTTTCAGGCTCGGCGCTCACAGAAATACACCCATCAGCCCCATTAGCAAGAATCTGGGCCCTCCCATTTAGATGGAACAAGTCAGATGCGACATGCCAGAGCGCATGCGGTGCAACCTGTCTCGGCATTGGCTGGTATGCAGTTGGGTTCTTCAGGCGGCACTCGACGGCGGTGACGTCCGGGTTTCGTGCCGCAGGAGAGGGCAATACATGGTACCGCCCTGGCGACGCCTGGTGCACCGTGCCTCTGGCGGCAAACTGGTTAGGTTACAATGGCGAGCACGATGAGGGAGCAATCAGATGGCTGGGAAATGAGCGAGGAGGGCGACAGATTGTCCGACGTTGTAGGGGACTCTGCACAAAGCTGGCGGTGAAGTTGCTTTCAGCACTCCCTGATCTATCGGGCGCGCCACAACAGTAGACGTGCCGCTGCCGGACCGTGTCACCCTGGTGGGAGTGAATGCAAAGGTAAGCTCAAGATTGGGCTGGCAGCGTTCCAAGGGTTTGAGCTGGGCAGAGTTGACTACTGACTCTACTCTGCCCACCGGACAGCTGGCGAGCTGTGGGGAGCACCCTGCTGACCCAGCTGGAACCCAAGCTGTGCCAGCACCCACTTTGTGACAGTATTGATGGTGATGGGGCGAGCGACTTTTTGGTGCAGATGACACAATCATGCCACTGGCTATTACTCCATTCGACGGCAGCCGGGTGCAAAGCGCGCATTTTTGCCTTGTCATATTGAATTAGGAACTTGCACTAGTCAGAATCCAACAGATCGACAATATTGGCCTCGAGCTTGCCCAATGCACGAGCCCGCGTGCGCGTCCTCTTGCCGCTCCTGTTGCCATCCATGCCCCCTTCTTTGACTTTGCGCTTGCCTGCGCCTGCATGATACAGCGGATGCTTGAGTACCTCCTGGCCGCTTGTGCAAATAGGCGCCATGAGCACCTTCACTTAAACAGGATCCAGAAAATGGACCCACCTGTACAAACAGCAGCCTCGGTGGCATCCTCCTCGTCATCGCTGGCAAGCAGCACAACGTCGTCCTCTGTCTCCTGCAGCGCCGCCAGCTCGCTTGCGCCCGCATGTGCTGGCATTGGCCCCCTGCGATCATTCCTGCCATCTCGCCTGCCACCCACGTCTGCTGGGGCCTCAGCTGACAGTTGTTCAGCCTGCGCTGTTGGCAGCCCGCCGCTGAGTACAAACCCTTCAGGATGCTGGTCGCTATTCCAATCTTCCTGTTGCATTGAGAAATCAAGGCACAGCAAGGGCGTGTCAGCAGCCAACAGGAGCAAGTCCATTTTCTTCACATATCCTACGTCGCTTACTCTGTGCTTGACGATCAGTTGCGCCTTGAAGCATTGTTCCTGGTCGTCAATGTCCAGGATGCTGTTGTGCACCACGCCTCCCCCTGGCAGCTGGGCCAGCAGTCGTCGCAGCAGCGCTCGGTTCATGATCACCTGCAAAGAGAGAGAGAGACAAAGCACCACACATGTGGACGACTCTCGCCAGTTCCAATCAGCAAAGTCGAGCGCTTCAGTTGCCACAAGCAGCAAGCATTGAAAAATTGACAGACATTTACCTCGTCCTCGTCCAGCCCTGCGCCTTCCTCATAGCTGAAGGTTCCGCACCGCACCGTCGGTGCCAGCAACGCCAGCCGCCCCTTCAGCACCTGCAACAGACCGCGATTCATGTGGCCTGCGACTGTCTTTCCAATGCTGCTGCTGCCTTGTTGTGATGGGGTCAAGAAAACTGTCTAGTTTCACTTTAAAGCCAATCTGCCCGCCTCTCACCCTGTCTACGAGTTGCTGCAATGTCATCTTGTTGGTGTCAATTGCCAGCTCCGCCTGGGCTGTCCCGCACACCATGCATGCTACATTGGGCTCGGGTGCAGCCATGCGTGACACCAGGCGTTTGCTGCCTGACACCTGTCGGGTGCCACAAGGCATGTCAGCCAAATAAGCAGAACAGGTTATCTCAGCCAGCTAACCAAATGCCACTAGTCGCCTACGGTGGTGGCATGCTAGCATCCCACATGCTGTGGCAAGCATGCCAGCAGAGATCGGCAGCAATTGGCACCGTGCCTACAAACCTGCTGGTGCAGGAAGCTGGTTTGGCAGGAACCAGCAGCGCCTGCCAGCAGCTTCTGCGCCTCCACCACAATCAGCCCCGACACGATAGCATTAGTGGTGGCAATGGCATGAATGATGTTGCCTGCCATGCCCTGCGGTCAAATCAGGCACTGCGGTGTGCATTGCAGCAGGAGCAGACGCGACCAGCGAGGTTGATGCCGGCAGCTCAGCATAAGACTTAACCTGCTTGCCTTGGTTTCAAACAAGCTCTGCATGGGGATACCGTAGCAGGCGGCGCGCAAGTTGGCGGCCGCCGTCACAAACTCCACTGCCAGGGCATCGTCCTTGTCGAACTGCAGTGCAATACATCCATCACCTCAGCAAAGGTGGAGAGTTGGTGATCAATGCCAGCGATGGCAACTCGTGATGAGCAAAAGGAATGCCAGCAACCACCTGTGCTGATCCCAGCTCGTTTGATCTGCCATCTACGAACAGCTGCACCGCCATCAGGAATACTGCTGCAGAGTGCGGCACATCCCACACAGCATGGACGTCCTTCAAACCCAGCGCCCTGCATGCGCTGCTGGCTACATCCACTGGCTTTGCAGCTCCACCGATTGCGACGCTGTCTCCAGCAGTTGCCGTGCCGCTACCGTCAGCAGCCGGCAACAGCAACACATCCAAATCCAGCGGCTCGGGTCGCCGTCTGTTCCGCCACAAGTCCTCCATTCTGCGCAGCTCAACTATTTTTGTGCCGTACAGGTGCCTGCAGGGAAATTGCAGGCATATGCAAGGTAGCTGTGAGAAGTGAAGCACTTTGGCCTCTGAATCCAGCAACAAGGGTTGTCTGCTTGCCTGAACACTCGCTCAGCAAACTGCCTACTGCCCTCCCCCTGTCGGTGCCGATAGAATGTAGGGTCGTCAGCAGTGCTAGCGGCACCCTCCCCATCTACATGCCACAGGGTCCATGCACGAGTCAGCCCTTCAGCATCATCCCTCCCGTGGGCTACCAACTGGCCACTCCTCACCTGCCGCAGCTGCTTCGTTCAGGTCAGAGGCCTCGGGCACGCCAAACAGCAGCGGGAACAGCATCTCCTTGGCCCATACCACGCAGTGGATGGGCTTGTCGGGCGTGTTGCGCAGGGTGCACACCGGGAAGGTCTTGGGCGTGGGCTTGGGCTGGCATTCAAAGCACTCGGTGCGTCCCTTCAAGTGCACGCTCACCTGCACACGACGCTAGGAGACGGACCGATCTGCAGTGCGCATGCATCCTTGCCGGGAGGAAGGCAACCCTGGGTGTTGCTGCAGCACCCTGGCAAGGCAGTAGTGAACACCGCACAAATTCACCTGGCCCAGGTAGCCCGCAGTGCCTGACTCCACCAGCGGCACCCCCGCCGCCAGACACAGCCGATTGATGTGCCGCCGCGCCTCCAGGTTGTCCAGCCCATTCAGCACGCAGTCAAAGCGGCGGAAGAAGTCGACGCCAAATCGTGGCTCCTTGACGTTGCCCTGCACAATTAGGGGTGGCTGGGAGAAGCAGATTTGGCAGCGAGCAGGTCGACCGAAAATATGCACCAGATTGATCCATCTAGCCCGTGCGACATGTACAAGTGGGGTACAAGCCCTGCCCTCCGCCTCGTGCCTGACAGGCGGTGATGTCAATACCGGGCCGCATGTGCTTCGCAGCCTCGGCAGCCACCACCGACTTGCTCATGCCCACGTGTCGCTTGCGAAACAAGAACTGCCGGTTGAGGTTGCTCATCTCAATCGTGTCCATGTCGATCTGGTGCAAGAGACCGGCAGGAGGAGTGCTATCTTGCGGGTGCCAAACCAGCAGGGCAGCCAGGAGGTGCCGCTGGCGCAGCAGCTGCGCCGCCATGAAGAGATCTGCGCCCCTGAACAACCCAGCCTGGCTACACGCGCACCACTTCAATGTGTCTGAAGCCCGACGTGACGAGGGTCTTGAGCAGCTCGCAGCCGATGCCTCCCGCCCCCACGGTCAGCACCCTGGCCTCCCGCACAGCTCGCTTCAGCTCTCTACTCCCAGCTGCATAGGGCCACTGCCCATCACGCTGGGCCATGTGCGACCGCTGGGCCGTGTGCGACCGACTGGGATGGAGCCTATAAACGTTGTCGAGATAGGAACGAGGAGAGGTGAGCGTGAGAGTAGCGTGAGAGTTAGCTCTGTACGGTGCTGGTACTGCCTGGATCTCACACGTGGATTGAATTGAAATGTCATTGAAATGTCATTGAGTGTGGTTATTCTGCACGTGGTACTGCGTTGGCGGGTCAACCTGACACAATCACTGTCATGAAAGTGCGGTTTTCCCACTGCCGCGATGGCCTGACGAAAGACGAATGTTGCCTCGCTTTCCGACTGGATTTGAGTTTCTGGGCCTTCCCGGCAGAAAAGGGGGCCGAGGTGACATGGGGCTTTCCCCTTTCACTTTCGCCATTGCATGACAGTGATTACAAGTGTCAGGTTGACCCGCCGACGCTGTATTGAACGCAATGGCCGGGCACTACCAGTGAATTATGGGGTTTAGGGTAGAGAACAGCGGTGTCGACAAGAGAATGTCGACCGCGGGCGGAGGTAAAGGGGCACCACGACCATACCCACTACTGACCCTGGACTATGCTTGTCGAAGTGACCATCACACAGGCACATGGGTTTAAGTTCAAGCAAACTGCAGAGACCAGCGTCCCAACGAATCCTGCAGCCATAGGCAGGTCCAGGCAGGGTCCAGGCTGATTGACCAGGCGCCGGTGGGCCATGCCGCGCCATGCCGCCGAATGTGATGCGATCAGGGCTGACACGTTCTGCCCCGGCTTCACAGTATCTGCGCATCGTACCACCAGTATCGGGTGCACCCCGGTTAGACTGCCCTCCACCCCTCTTCGGGGCGGATCCAGACGGGCGCACTGTGACTGCGCGCTGCCAGCCTGTCGGGCGCTTCTCCCCCGACTCACCCACTTCTTCTTCTTCTGACAGCCTCCTGTGGGGAGGGAGTGGCGGCAGGCTTCCTCTGGAAAGTCGCTGCCACCGTTTCTCCCCCTGAGTCACCCGTGTTTGGTCACATCTTCTTCTTCTTCGTCGTCGTCGTCGTCGTCGTCGTCGTCGACTTCTCTCTTCGCATTCTTGTGTGCTCATCTGCCGCTGGTGAGTTCTGGGTGGGGTTTGTAGACAGGTTCTGATGCAAGTCGGCGGATGTGTCGGCGGCGCGGTTCGAAGGGACGATGGGAGGGTGGGGGAGGCGGATCGCATACCTTTGGGCTGCATCGGCACCATCGCGTTTTCCGAGCGGCATCTGACCCCCTCCCCCAGCTGCACGCACGTGTGCAGACGTTCGGGGCATCTGCAGCCATGTTGGCGACTGTCGCGCCCCACGCAGCGCCCCTCGCTAGCTGCACCACTGGACGCCGCCTGCCGCGTTGCACCGCCGTGCGCGTTCATGCCAAAATTAAAGAGCAGCAGTATGTCAGCCCGTCATCCCGCACCAGCTCTACTGAGTTGGAACGTCTGGAGGCACTCTCATCGGTGCGCAATGCACGCTTACCTTTATCTGCCAACGCGGTTGCGGTTGGTTGGTCTGAAACCATTGCGTCTGCCCGCAGGTGGTGCCCGATGTGCTGCTGAGCCAGAGCCTGCAGCAGGTGGAGGAGCCCAAAGCGGCCACCACGTCCCGATCGGTGCTGGCCGGCATCATGGGCAACCCCGTCAGCATGCGCCGCTACAAGGTGGGTGCCAAGGGATCAGGGGCGAGGCGGTGTATTAGCTGCCTCTGTTCCACACCGGCTGCGAACTGCACTGTCTGCAGTTTGCGGTGGAACAAGCACGTTTCTATGACAAGTGCAACTTGGAGGCAGGCGGCGACAAGACGAGCTGCCAGGTGTGTACAGCCCTCTTTTTGTTTACTGGCTGTGTGCTCTTCGGTCTGGCAATGCCCTTCCTCATCGCTGCTTGAGCAGCTCTCTCCCTCGTGTTGCCTGTTTGCACCGTCCGTCTACTGCGCCATGCTGGGATCCCTCACCGTGCGCTGCAATGCCCCCGCAGGTCGACAAGGCACTTGTCAATGTGGGCAGCATGTTCCTCGAGACGGTGACCGGGCGTGTGAGCACAGAGGTGGACCCACGTATCGCCTTTGACGCTGGTGCGACCAACCGCATGCTCTGTAAAGCTGGGCGCTGCTGCCCACCTATGCTTCTGTTCTGCCTTCTTGACTGCCCATGGCCGTAGGCACACCTCTTTCATTTCTGTCTGCCCTGTAGACAAGCTGCTCGCGCGGGGGCGGCAGCTTGTGGATATGTACAAGGAGGTTGGTGTCGACCAGGACCGCGTGCTGCTGCGTATGCCCGCCACCTGGGCCGCCATCCAGGCGTGCAAGCAGCTGGAGGCTGAGGGCATCGCGTGCCACCTGGTGCTGGTCTACAGGTAGGCTTGGGTGCCTGGTGGGCAGCGACGCCAGCAGCCAGCTGCCTGGCCCACTCTGTTCTTTCACCTAGTGATGCTCCACTACCACCAGCTCCACAGTGCTTATTCTACTATGTGTTCCCCCGTAGCTTTGTGCAAGGTGCGGCAGCCGCGCAGAACGGCATTAGCGTGGTGCAGCCCAATGTGGGCCGACTGCACGACTGGTACAACCGCCACCCCGGCGTGATCCGGGATCCCAACGTGAGGGGTGCCTGCCATGCCCACGCTGCCTGCCCTACCACTCCCGAGCACTCTCCCTATCCACCAGCACAGCATCATCATTGCCATACTTCAAGGATATGTTTGCCTTCAGGCGCCGCGTGAGATGTCTGCCATGGCCAAGGCGGGCTACGGCGCCAACGAGATCAACCCTGGCCTGCTGCTGGTGGAGAAGATCTACAACTACATCCAGGTGTGGACTTGGGGAGGGTGTGGCTCAAAGGCAGAGGGTGAAGCTGGGGGTAATGGCAGACATTTTTGACACACACACTATCATCATCTCCTGCAGAAGTACCATGGCGGCCGTACGAAGGTAATGGCCTCCGGGTTGCGCACCAAGGCCGAGGCGCTGGCACTGGCGGGATGCGACTTCCTGGTGGTGGTGAGTGCCTATCGCACCAAGCATAGGACACCTTCAGGTGCACGGATTTGGCTTTGACTTTCGCTTGCGCACATGTGAATGCAGGGCCCCAAGGTGCTCAACACGCTGGCCTCTTCCGCCACGCTGGATGGCTACAACACGGGGCTGTCAGCGGCAGAGGACGTGCCCGGCAGCGTGGAGCCACGGCTGAGCGCGGAGCTGGCGCAACGCGCCGAGTTCCTGCCGCTGGAGCTGGACACGGTGGATGGTGGGTAGCTGGCGGGCTGGAACGCTACACAAAGCCGCTCTGGCGGTGGCACTGTGTGGTCCTGAATGCCCTGTGGTTTGTGCTTCTTGTCTGCAGAGGGCCGCTTCAACGAGTACCTTGGCATGGCAGGGCGCGACCTGCTGCAAGAGGGCATCCAGCGCCTGGTGGAGGACGCCAACAGGCTGGAGCCCTACTTCCTTAACCTGGCGGGGGGCCAAGAGTGATCATGCAGAGTTGCAGCCAGCCATGTGCTGCATTGAGGCTGCTGTCTTTTGCCTTCCTCCTTGGTTGGCGACCACCAGGTTTACGCACCGTTTGCTTTTAGACCATAGCAAAGATTCCCTCTGTCTTCGTTGCGCCTTTGTTTCCTTGCACCTTGTTAAATGTTTACATAGGCCAAAAGACTGCGAGCCGCAGCTTTACAGGATTAGCGGTGTATGTACAACAGAGAGAAGAAGAGAGTCGCCTAAAGTACATGGCCCGCGGTGGAGACGTGCCATTGCTGCAGCAGGTCTTAACCGAACGTGTTCTCGCCGCTGCACAACAACACATCAAAGGGCAGAATTGTCTTGAGCCAAAGGGCAGAGTTGTCTTGAGCCAGCGTTAGCCGACGGACGGAAGCAGTATACAACAAAGCTCCAAGGACTACCAGCATCACTCCACAGTGGCGAGGCGGCACCCTAAGTCCCGCACCTGTAAGTGATGTACAGGAAGTTGTCCTCGTCCTTGTGGTCGGCGTACACATCCGCCATCAGCGCCGCTGCAGCAGCATGAAAATCAGCGCTCATCTCCGCGTGGGGTCGAGCAGAACCGGGGTGGCGTTTCCAGGCGCTTCCAGATGCCGCTTGCTTCTGGCGGCTGCTGTGCAGGCCACTCCAAAGCAGCCAAGCAGCTAGAACAACCTCACCCGTGGGCGGCAGCACGTTGCGTACAAACATGAAGATGGCCTGCTCTGGAGACACGCGAATGCGCTTGCGGATGACATACACAAACTGGCCCACTGTCAAGTCGGCGGGGACCAGGTACCTGCTTGCAATTGGGGCCAAGAGGTGTAGCTTGCGATGGCACATAACGGCAGACAATGAGCAAGCTCACTTCTTCTTGTCGATGTCCGGGATGTTGGTTTTGTCTGCACGCTCCACAATCACCTGCAGGACGTGACAAAACAGATGCAGTGACCCCAGCGCTGGCGCCAGGGCGCCGAACCTGCTGCTGTTGCGGGCTGTTTTTCAAGCCAGGGGCTCACAGGGATGCGGTCCGGGTACTTTTCACGGATGCGTGCAGCCTCTGCTTGCCGTTTTTCTGCACGGGGTGTGTGTGGTGGGGCGAAGAGCACCGTTCCGCTCAGTTGATTGTTCGCACAAGTAGGTAGATAGTGTTATGCAGTCCGAGGGGCAGCCACGGCAAGGCGCGAGGCCGACTGGAAGGCTGTCGGAGTCCCGCGAGCGCGGTTCGACAGAGGCGCTCGGAATCAACTGCACATGCTCTTGCTGTGTCAGGGAAACCTAGCGCAAGGCGCCAGCAGGCGTCGCACCGAAGGGATGCTCCTCCTTGAATCCTTTCGTGCGGGCCATGGTTGCAGCAAACAATACTCTAGAATGCGTGGTGCGGATTCATGAAACGAGTTGTCGCCCAAATGTACTGCAGGTACCGCCGCTCCGCCGCGCGCGCCTCTCCCGCCATTCAGGGCAAAGCCTTCTGGCCGTAGACCACAAAAAACGGGTTCAGCGGGCTCTCCTTGTTGTATTGCACGGGCTCCCGTCTGGTGAGCGCCACCTGCATACCGGACATATGCAGTCAAGGAGAGGCAAGACAAAAGCCTTGTCGCACACCACCCAGCAAGCCCAGCGCCAGCCAGCCTGCCCACCTTCCAGTCCTCAAGGAGCTGCCCTGTGCTGTCGCACAGGCCCGCCTGCAGCACGACGCCCCCCGCCTCCTCCACAATGGCGTGTGCCGCCGCCGTGTCCCACTCGCACGTGGGCGCCAGCCGGGGGTACACGTGCGCAATGCCCTCAGCAACCTGAGGCACAGGTGCAGACACTCACGCATCAAAGCACGGCCTGCCTTCGCAAGAAGGCAATCGGTTACAGGTGATCCCGCAACACAGATGCCACCCACCAGCTTCCACACCCACCATGAGCAGCTTGAGCGAGCTGCCCAGCTGCTTGAAGCTGGGTTCACGCAGCTGAGCCACAAACTCTTGCGTCTCGGGCGTCAGGTGGCTGGCCGATGCCACCACCACCAGCCCAGGCTGTGTGAGGTCCACCTCTGCACACTGCAGCTGCTGCGCCTCGTGCCCAGCCCGCTGCACAAACGCCCCCTGCCCCTTGGCCGCCCAGTACACGGTGCCCTGCATGGCAGGCAGCAAGGAGCAGCACAATTGGGAAGCCCGCACATTGCAATTCTGCTTATCGTTGGCAAAACGCCTGGTGCAGCCAGCAATCTCAGCAAGCAAGCAGCGGCAGGCTCACGTCCACTGGCACCGCCACCACGCCCAGCACGGGGTGCCCTCCCTCCAGCAACGCAATGTTGACGGTGAACTGGCCGTTGCGCTTCATAAAGTCCTTGGTGCCATCCAGCGGGTCCACGCACCAGCTGTACTGGTAGCCCTTGCGCATGTCATATGCCACTTGCCGGTTCTCCTCCGACACGATGGGTATGTGCGGTGCTGCAGATCAGGGTGCTCCATACATGTGGGCTGTGGCACGGCCACACCGGCTGCCCCGACGGTCCCAGCGCTCACCTATTTGTGCCAGTCCGTCGCAGATGACTGCATTGGCTTCCTTGTCAGCGCGGGTCAAGGGCGACTCGTCCGCTTTGCGCTCCACACCCCAGGTCTCGGCCTGCACCGCCCCCAACCATCGCCGCCAGCAGCGGCATGCACCCGACTGTCAGCTGCGGCCGGGCAGCCAGTAGATGGCGTTGTACGCCACCCTTCAAGCGACTTCGCTGTTGAGCGCCGCTCAGAGACAGCGCAACCACACCTCTGAGTTGTACACGCGCAGGATCGCGTCGCCGGCCGCACGGGCGATGCCGGCCCACTTGTGGCAATCCCCCTGCTGCGTGAGCTTGATGTGCCGGGCCATGATTGTGGGTCTCAGAAATTGAAAACCAAAACTAACTGCCATTTGGTGCTTGATTAATCAACCGAAAAGATCTTTCCTTCCCTTTTATAGGTTTAAAATTCCACGCAGTTTTGATCCACAGCACCCCCTCGAAACTGCTTGTAGTGTTGGCCACCTGGCTTAGCGCTGTAGGCGGTGCTTCCACTGTGCTCGCCTTTACCACCCGACCGACTCTTCTTCCTTTCACAGACTGTAAAAGCCAGACTAAATTGCCATGGCAACGGTCAGCCCACATGTCCACACATGCGATGCGCGACACCTGTGTCGTGGACAGTGCTACCGCTCCAGTAACCCTTTGGGGACATGCGGAAAGCATGCAGCGGTTGCGGCTACAAAAGACCCCCGACCTTGAAAAAGGGGCGGTTGACCTGTCGCCGAAATGGCCTCGACGAAACACACAACCTCCCCGCAATCATAACTTGTAACACTAAAAACAGTCAAACTTGAGTGATCACTCGGTGTCAGTTTTATTTTTTGGCGCGGCTGCAAAGCGGCTCAGCAACAGCCACTCCCCGCCCAGGTCGGGCCGCCACATGCAGACCTCTCGGCCCTCAATAGATGCCGCCAGCCAGTTGCCCAGCGGGTTCCACGCCACCTGCCAGACGGGTGTCGCATGCTGCAGGCGCACCAGCTGACGCGACTGCAGACCGTCCGCTGTGCCCCACAGCTCCCAAAGCAGCACTGTGGCGCCCGCTGCCACCGCCACGACGTCGCAGGGCCGGCCCATCGCCGGCGCCCATGCCACATCTGCCACCGGCCGTCCGCCGTAGTCCTGTGCGACAGGTGCAACAGCCAGGGTAGTTGAGCTCAGGATTATATGCAAAAGATGTCAAAATGTTGTTCTGCAGCCTCGAGTGCCCAATCCGCACACCTGTGGGCTGCCAAGCGTGGCCGCCTGCTGCCACCGCATCTGCTGCTGCCGATACAACCAAATTTGTGCCCCTGCCGTCGCCGTGCCAACCAGTAGCAGCGGCGGCAGGCTTGGCGAAAGCTGTCGCCAGCCGAGTGCGGTGACCGCGCCGCTGCCGATGCCTATCTGAAAGTGGTTTTGTAGCTCCCAGCTGGCTGGTGCCAGCTCGCTGGATGCCACGAAGAGCCTGCAGAGGTGGCCAAGACACAGAAAGCAGCAATTGCGCAAGGTGCAAGCGTGACTCCCAGCTTGGTAGCCTGCCGCTTGATGAGAGCGCCATCTGTGCTAGATAGCGCCAGCACACGACCTGCTCCCACCTGACAAAGCCATCGGCGTAGGCAACGGCCAACAGCGGCCCCAGCGGCGGTGGCGCAAAGGCCACGTCCAGCACCGCCAGCGTGGCCTCCTTGAGCGCCGCCACCAGCCGCCAAGATCCCTGCTCGCCTGGCGTCTCTTGCCACACGACCACGCTCCCGTCGGCGGTCCCCCCAGCAATCACCCTGCCAAACTCGGCAGGAGCCCAGCACAGCTGCGTGATGCACAGGTCATCGGCAGGGAGGGTGGCATGCAATGACCAGCCCTTGCTGGAAGCCTTCCGCTGAAAGATGGCCACCCGGCCTTCACCAAACACAGCCTGTGCAGTGCGCGAGGCATTGCATGCAATGGCAGTGGCGGCCATGTCGAGCGCCGTCATGCTGATCTGTACTGGATATGAAGTGAGAGGGCTGACGCTGCAGCAGGAACGGGCAAATGAAACCGGCGGTGGTGGTGGGCCGCCGTTGGCGGAGGGCGCGCCGGCGATGCCACGGCGGGGGCGGAGTTCGCGGCGGCGGCGGTGTTTGCGGCAGCGGTGGTGTCCAATGGGCTGCACACTCGCCCGCGCACGCGTGAAGATCTGGAATTCCTTGCTACCCTCTGCGCAACTGATCAGTGCTCTCGGATGGAGGCCCGGGCTAGAGGCCTGTCAAATCAATCAATTTCTCGGCGTGGTACCCGGAAACACGCAGCCACAAAATAAGAATTGAAGCAACAGCATGTAGTGCTAGCATGTAGTGCGGCCTGTGAAAACCCTCCCATGCTTTTGGGCAGCATCAAATTGACACGGGAAGCATATCACGGAGCGTCCACATATCTTCCCGGCGCACCTGGGCTTCTACGCTGCAGAAGAGCTTGCCCTGGTTGGTGGCTGCCTGCGTCATGGCGTCCCTCACACCCAGTGGTAGCAACAAGGGAAACCTGGGAATCTCCAGTTATGCACTGGAGGTGAGCTGTGTGACCCCCACAAAGCCCTACATGCCCGCCATGAGGCAACCTGGGATCCCGAAGCAACATCCCAGCTTTGTGGCTGAAACTTGATAATCGCCAGCGCCAGCCAACGTGCCTGCACGGTCGACTGGGTGCCGCCAGTCCCCGCCCACAGTGCCACGCGGCAGCGCCCCACGCGCCGGCAGTGCAGCCTGCCGTCTGCAGCACCAGTTCCCCTGCAAACAGCATTTCACAATGCCCAGTCACGCAGCAGGGGTAAGCGCCGCCGGGCCCACCGCTTGCGCATCGCCGTCGAGCCGCCCTGGCCGCAGGTGAACCAGGCACTGCTGGAAGAGGACGATGGGTTGCTGAGAGATCAATTTCTCAGCGTGTTCAGAAGCCATCACCCCCAGGTGAACCCGCCCCCGCCGCCAACCTCGCTGCCCCGCGCCCACAACTAAAAAACACAACCAACGCATGCTGCATTCCTCCCTGGGCCAAACACCATCAAGGGAAACCGGAATGTCTCAACTGCTATTGAAAGCAACAACAAATGGTTCTCTAAGTGGCTTTTGAAGCTGACCGCGCCTCAATGAGCCAACATTTAAACTCAAAGGCAAACACCCACTTTTTGGTGGCGGGATTGTTGCTTAAAACCACTTGGCACTTCGGGAGCGGCAGCTGTCCCACCTCTACTCTTCGCTGCATCAACTTCCTGCATTTAACAACATGCTGGCTATCCCTCTGCACCTCTGAGCACCACGCCAATAACCTTAGGCGGTTGGGTGCTCAGGCTAGGTGCACTGTCCCTGGCACAAGCCCCGCCAATAGCATGCTAAAGCCACCGTCCTGGCGCCGCGGCAACCATACTGCCCCACAACACACAACCAATACATGCTGCTTCGCTGGCTGCAGCTGGCCAACAAGGTGGACGTCATCTTTGCGCTCGCCCAGGTGGGCAGGGGGACTCCCGGCAACACGACCCACGCGGTGCCTTGCTCCATGCTTGTGACCGCCTTGCCCCACCCTTGCAGGCCTGGTGCATGTCAGAAAGCGACAGCGACTTTGAGATGCTGGAGAAGCGCCTGGAGGCGCTCACCCCGGACGAGTCCATCTTGGTGAGGGAGCGGACGTTCAATTCAAGCCGAGTTACATCCACATACCATCGCAGCAGACGTTGACTTGCATTCTTCCATCCATCTTCTGACCCTGCAGGTGTCCAGCGCCTTCTCGCAGCTGCTCAACCTGCACAATGTGACCGAGGAGTCGATCACCGCACGGGTGGAGAAGGCGGCACGCCTGGGAGAGGTAGGGCACGATTGGCGACATTGCAGCTGAGTGCCCATCCCCGCTCCCTACTACTCCCTACTACGGGGAGATGGGGCAGGGCATCTGAGCATTTGCATGTGCGCATGCGCATACCCAATTGCCTCTGTTGCAGGTAGAGCAGGCCACGCGATCCACCAACAAGTCGCTGCAGCGCCTGGTCAGCACAAAGGGACTCCAGCCCGAGGAGATATATGCCGCTCTGTGCAAGCAGACCGTTGGCCTGGTCTTCACCGCTCACCCTACCCAGGTGGCTCAGAGGGCAAATCAGTCACTAGATTTGGGTTGCTGATGGATTTCGGGTTGCTGTGGATGCTGGTCGATGAGATGCCCTGCCTGCCTGCCTGCCTGCAGGCCACTCGCCAGTCGCTGCTGAAAAAGTACGGCGAGATCCGGCACGCCATGGACCGCTTGCACAACACTCGGCTGAGCAACTACGAGCGGCTGGAGTGCCTGGACGAGATCCGCAGGTTGGGGCTGCGGCTCATCAGCCCCTGACGAGGAATGTGCCTTTGATGCCCAACCCCACCCGCATTCCACCCGTCGCCCTCATGCGCATCGCCTGCAGCCAGATCCAGGGCGCGTGGCGCACAGACGAGATCCGGCGCCGCAAACCGTCGCCCCAGGACGAATCACGGGAGGGGCTGACCTACTTCCATGAGACCATCTACTCTGGCCTCCCCGTGTTCTTGCGCCGCATCGACACCGCTCTCAAGAACATTGGGCAGCCGATGCTGCCGCTGGATGCCAGGCTCTTCTCCTTTGGTGAGGAGCAACAACAGCACTGAGGGGACCCGCGACGGAGGCCGGCAGGCAGTTTGGAACTGCCATCCCCGGCACTGATTGGGTGTGCGTTGCCACCTTGCCTGCTGCCAGGCGCCTGGATGGGTGGCGACCGCGACGGCAACCCCTTCGTCACCCCTGACACCACCCGTGACGTGGTCATCGGCGCTCGCCTCAGGTGCCTATGCTTGCCACTGCCGCTATGGAGAGCACACAATGTGTGATGTTCCTTGAGCTTGGCCTATTCCAGGAGCATGCTGGTGCCGTGGATCTTGAGTCTTTGCTGCTGTCTCTCCTGCCGCAGTGCCACCACCCTGATGACAGAGCAGGTTGAGAAGCTGATGTATGAGCTGTCCATGTGGCGCGCCTCGCCAGAGCTCAAGGCAAGGCTGTCCAGACGCTTGCAATGGCCTGCTGTGTATGGAAGCAGGCATTCACACCAATTGCCCTGTGTTCCACTTGCTCGGCCGGTTTAACCCCGCCACTTGCATCTGCGCCCCTCAATGCACGCAGGCACGTGCGCAGCAGGTGCAGGGCAAGCATGCGGCAGGCCTGGAGGGCGAGTTCCTGGAAACTAAGAAGAACACATATGACGTTGTGTTCATGTCCATCAACGAGCCTTTCCGCCTTGTGCTCTCTGACGTCCGCGCCCGACTGCAGCGCACCAAGTGAGTCAACAAAGCGTTGGCACATGATACGATCTGTGTGGAATTGGGCAAGTTATCAACAGATCCAGGCTACATTGCAGATGGTATCTGGCCTTCCTTGCACACTGATCCCGCCCTCCCTGTCCTGCTTCAGGGATTTGCTGCACCACTGCCTGGAGCATGCCAGCGTGAATGTGAGAGAGGCACTGGAGTCTGACCCTGAGGCATACCGCGATGAGAGTGAGTGGCAGTTTAATACGCTTGCATCCTTGCTAGTGCACTGAATCATTTGTCTGGATCCCTGAACTGCATATGCACACATACCCATCTGCAGCCGAGCTGCTGGCTACGCTGCGCATGTGCTACGACTCCCTAATCTCCACCGGTGACATCCACATTGCATCCTCCCACTTGTTGGACGTGCTGCGTCAGGTACAGGCTGTATCTGCCATCGCTCGTTGGTGCAGTACAGGGCAATGAGCCTGCTGCAATGTATCCTCCGCGTGCTGCTAAGAAGGGCTTCAGATTGTTCAGCTGTATCAGCCTTCTCTTGCTTCTTATCTTCATTCTTCACTACCTTGTCGCAGGCCCGCGTCTTTGGACTTTTCCTGTGCAAGTTGGACATCCGGCAGGAGAGTGTGAAGCACACCGAGGCCATGGATGCCATTACCACCTATCTGGGGCTGGGCAGCTACAAGTAAGGCGCTGCGGTCATGCACCTGGATATGCGGCAGCTCGCGCTTCGCCCTGCCAAACATCAACAATCAAGTGCATATTGGCGTCGCTCCTTGCTTCATGATTTGATCTGCCTGTTGATGTTGCAGGCAGTGGGATGAGCCACGGCGTATGGATTTCCTAGTCAATGAGCTGACTGGGAAGCGCCCCCTGCTGCCGCCTGATCTTCCCATGACCCCTGAGGTATGTGCGATGCTGTTCCATCGTGACCGGTTGACTTTATACTGTTAAGCCAAGCTGTGGCTGCTGAGTCTGTTATGCTAGTTGTACCGAGACATCAGCCCTATCTCACCTGAACCAGGTGCCGATCTTGCTGTCATCATTGCCCGCGACTTGCACCCCTGCAGGTGGCGGATGTCATCGGCACTTTCCGCATGCTGGCGCAGCTGCCCACTGACTCGCTTGGTGCCTACATCATCTCTATGAGCCACACCGCCTCTGACGTGCTGGCGGTGGTGCTGATGCAGAAGGAGTGCGGGGGTGAGTTGAGAGTGTGCATGCATGTTTTATCGACAAAGAGAGATTGTGTGTGGTGGGTCGGGTTGGGTTGGGGCATTGGGCACCGCTCTTTTAAGCTCTCTTTAACCACTTTCACGTGCACGTGACAATCCCACGCTTTGTGCAAACATGCAGTGAATCCCATGCTGCGCGTGGTGCCGCTGTTCGAGACGCTGGATGACCTGCACTATGCTGAGACTGCCATGCGCCAGCTGTTCACCAATCCCTGGTACCTCGCTCACATCAATGGCCAGCAGGTTGGTGCACGGTGCCAAGCCTTAAGCTGCGCTCGCTGGCAGTAGCCAGCAGCACTTGGGGGCACACAATCTGCTGTCTTTTCAACTTGCTTGTTGAGAACAAGGCCCCACTGGCCTGTCTTGCCCCTTACAGGAGGCAATGATTGGTTACAGCGACTCTGGCAAGGATGCGGGGCGCCTGGCGGCAGCATGGGGCCTGTACGAGGTACAGGAGCGGCTGACCAAGGTGGCGGACGAGTTCGACGTGCACATGACACTGTTCCATGGCCGTGGTGGCACTGTGGGTCGCGGAGGCGGCCCCGCCCACCTAGCCGTGCTGTCGCAGCCACCAGGCACGATCCGTGGCACAATCCGTGTGACGGTGCAGGTGCGTTTGTTGAAGTGACAGGCAAGGGGCACAGATGTGAACGTAATTGCCCCGCTCCACACTGACTTAGCGGCCTTGCAGGTTGCCATGCACTTTGTTATGTCGTATTGCAATCACAGAGTTGCTTCATGTCACTGTTGAGGCTGTATGATACTGTCCGCATCTGTAGGGGGAAGTGATGGAGCAGCAGTTTGGCGAGAAGGAGAGTGCCTTCCATACCATGGACCTGTGAGTGGTCGCCTGCCTAGAAGCATGGTTTTGTTGATTCCATTGCTTGAATGTGGGACATCCTGTCTTGACGAGCAGGTACACCTCTGCTGTGCTGGAGGCCACACTGGCTCCCACTGAGCAGCCACCTCAAGTAAGCTTGCCCTAATGCGCCGCAAGCTGGAGTTTCATGCAGGCATCTGTCCTATGTCTTCCCAACAGGCCTTCACTGCTCCTGCTTGCCACATCTGCAGCTATGGCGCGAGATGATGGCAGATATGGCACGTGTATCGTGTGAGGCATACCGAGCGGTGGTGCAGGAGGACCCACGCTTTGTCTCCTTCTTCCAGTCTATCACACCAGGTGACGTATTGGTGGGGGCTGGCTCTCAATGGTAGATGAGGCTAGGTGTGTTTGGGAAGGAGGTAGAACATTACAACACTAAGGAGGAGAGCAGCACTCAGATGAAACAATTTCTGTTTGGTTGACACGGATGGCGTGCATTTCCTCCTCGTGTTACGCTCTGCAGTGAATGAGCTGGGCCGCATGAACATTGGCTCCCGCCCAGCTAAGCGCCGTTCCCACGGCTCCATCGACACGTTGCGCGCCATCCCCTGGATATTCGCTTGGACACAGGTGTGGCAAGAGATGGGCTGTGTTTTCAACTGTGACTGCTAGAATGCCTCTTGACCCCATTTACGTTTCACCCGGGAACAATTTACATGTTCCAGGTCCGCTTTCACCTGCCCGTGTGGCTGGGCGTGGGCGAGGCACTCAACTCCATGATCAAAGCGGGCAAGCTGGAGCTGCTGCAGGTAATGCGTAGGCATGCGGCTGTTGTTTAGGCTGCTCATGTTGCTGTCTGATGATATGACTGCCTCATGATGCCCACCCAATCTGGACTCCGATGCAGGACATGTTCACCAACTGGATGTTCTTCCGTGTCACTCTGGACATGCTGGAGATGGTGTTCGCCAAAGCCGACCCTCGCGTGGTCAAGATGTACGTGCCAGGTCTCCTTGCCTCCTGTTATATTTGCTTGTGATGCCGTGGTGTTGTGTTTGTCTCCGCCGAGCATTGCTGTGCATTGCACAGGTATGAGAAGGCGCTCGTGGAGCCTGAGTTGCATGGCCTGGGCGACGAGCTGCTGAAGAAGTTTGAGATGGCAGAGCAGTCGCTGCTGACAGTGAGTTCTATGCCGCAGCTGCAATGTTTGCAAGTTCGCCCGCCCCTTTCGAACTCAAACTCGTTTGCGGTACCTCTTGTTGCCTCTGTTTCGCAGGTCATGAAGCACAGCCGGCTGCTGAGCTCCAGCTCCACGGCCTTCTTGCAGCAGAAGCTGCAGCTGCGGGCACCATACGTCGCGCCGCTCAATATTCTGCAGGTGGCTGTGAGGGTTTGGGTGGTGGGTGCGGGATGCTTTCATGAGATGCGCCCTCGTCTTTCCTTGGAGCTGCTGGCAGACATCGGTTGCAATGGCTGCGGCGGCGCTGCTGTGCTGCTGCTGAGCTACACCCAGCTACCACCATGGTGCAGGTGAGCTGCCTGAAGACACTGCGGACGATTGAGGCGGGGAAGAGCGTGGATGACCTAGTGCCCGACGGATACAAACCCAGTGAAAAGGCGCTGGCGCTCATGTCGCGTGGCGACTCGAAGCACCCATTTTTGGCTGGCATTGAGGACACCATGTGAGGCTATTGGTGTTGTTGCTGCTGTTCAGAGAGCTGGGGAAGCTGGGCCCAGATAACGGCACGAGTTTGTGTCACAACTGTGCTAATTCACCAACTCGGTGCCCCCACAACCTGTAGGATCATCACAATGAAGGGAATCGCTGCAGGTAACTGGAAACTCAATTTCTGTGCAACTTTGTTGTCTGGAGGTTGATTAGGTTGCTGGCGATGGATGACGTCCCAACTGCCCTCTTGCCATCTGGCTTTCCTTCTTTTTTTGCAGGAATGCAGAACACAGGGTAGACTTCTCCATCCGGGTTGCACACGAGCCAAGCTGGAGCATTGGATGCATCCCCACCACCATTTCTGCGCTCATGACTATTCCCAACCCCTCTAAACACCGAAGAATCCCTGCGTATTTGTGTGCCGTATCTGCTTCCAGAAAGACATGCGGCAGGAAGCGGCGGCGCACCGCTTCCTGCCGTCTTGCCCCCACAGCTTCAAGACTTCCTGCCGGGATTGCCTATTGTGTTACGCGAGCTCTGTCTCGCGCATCATCCCGGCATCTTTGTAACGCGCCAAGGCGCGCTGCAGCGAGTGCGCTGTCCCGCCTGTGCCCCGCCCCGTCCTGCGCCTCCCCTCCATCCCCTGGCCTCCTTCTCCTGCACTGTACCCATGGCAGCAATTCCAGAGCACCTGCTGGTACAAGACGCCCTGCAGGCTGCCAGCGGTTTGAATGGCCGTTGCGTGCACGTTCCACCTCCCACCGATTATGCGGACGCCCGGCATGTCCAGGCCTCCCGGGTGGCGGAGCTGGGCTGGCTGTTGCGCAAGGTGGAGGGGCTGGCCGTCGAGCTGGCCAGCCTGCAGAGCGTGGTGCACGAGGCGCTGGTAGCTGCTGCACGGCGTGAAGTCAGCAACTACTACCGACTGGTGGCCATCCTGGAGGCCCAGGCGCAGCGGCAGGCGACGTCGGTGCCTGGCGATGCCAGCGCCCTGACGCTGCGCCGCCTGGAAGTCTGGCTGTCCGAGCCGCTGGGCCGGCTGCGGGTGCTGGCAGAGTGCCTGGTGGCGGCGTGCGGCGTGCGTGGAGGCCAGCTGATCAATGTGCTGTACGCGCTGTCCAAGCACGGCGACCCGCTGGTGCGCAAGGTGGTGTCGCCAGTGCTGGAGGAGGCATGTATGCCCTACTTCAAGCAGATCAGCGCCTGGGTGCTGAATGGCACCATGGACACCACCAACCGCGAGTTCCTGGTGACCAAGGAGCAGCTGGCGCCACCGCACTGTGACGACCCCGCTGCCAACTGGCGCGGTGGCCATCGCGTCAATGCCGCCATGCAGCCCAACTTCATGTCCGACCAGCTTGTCGCCGACATCTTTACCACGGGGAAGTCCATCGCATTCCTGCGCGAGTGGTGCGGTGACACGCACTGGGCAGGCGCCATCAGCGGCAGCGCCCAGCAGCTGGCCGTCGCTGGCGGCACCTACCAGCAGCTGAGGTGCGTGATGCAGCTCGCTATCCCTTGTCAACTTCTTTTGCTGAGCTACTTGCTCCTTTTGCTAAGCTGGTTGCGTTTCTCTGCAAACCTAACTGAGGCTCGTCCCTGTGAGCGCAGGTGGTTGGAAACCGCGGTTAGCGAAGTGAAGGGTGCAGTGAGCAGCCACCTGCTGGGCATCGTGATGCAGCAGCATGGCCTGCCACGCCACCTGGCGGCCATCAAACGCTTCCTGTTGCTGGGCCAGGGCGATTTTGTGCGTGTGTTGTTGGATGCGGCAGGGGATGAGCTGAACAAGAGTGCCAAGGATGTGTCGCAGTACATTTTGCAGGTGGGGTGGCTGCAATTGACTTGCGCAGTCGTTCTATTAGCCTCTCTGCCTTGATTTCAGCCCCAGCTACTATCTTGAAATGTGTGGCAAATTTGCAGGGCCACTTAGACGCTGCGTTGCGATCGTCATCGGCTGCAATTGAGGCCGCCGACATCCTGCGCCGTGTGGATGTGCGGCTGCCGCACGGCAAGACATTGGAGGGCGACCTGGGCTGGGATGTCTTTGCACTGCAGTATCATGTAGATGAGGGCCCGCTGGGTGCCGTGCTCAGTCCCGACACCATGGCAGGTGACTGGAAGTTAGATTTGCTGACATGCAAGTTAGGCAAGCAAAATGCCGGTGCTCCCTGTATTCCACAAACTGCGCGCACCCGCTGCCCCTGCCGCAGGCTACCTGCGAATCTTCCGCCTGTTGTGGACCATCAAGCATGTGGAGGTCGTGCTGGAGCAGTGCTGGAGCACCATCAACAGCATGCAGCGCGGTCTCAACACGATTAAGGGCCAGGAGCGGGTGCATGGCGTGGCAGTGGACAATGCAGAGCAGGTGAGCAGCCTGGGTGCAATGGTGGATTGCTTGCTATTGTCAGCTTGCAGTTGTCGCCAAACTCTTCCCTGCACATGGGCTGCAGGTTCCGCCATTGCTGCGCGCCTTCCATGCATACCGTGCCGAGATGGCCAGTTTTGTGACTAGTCTGCAGTATTACATTGTTTTCGAGGTGCTGGAGCCCAACTGGGCCAAGCTCATGACCGCACTGCCCAAGGCTGCAGACTTGGACGCAGTCATCAGCTTGCATGAGAACACTCTGCAGGTGGGTTGAGGCTGATTGCTTGAAGTTTGAAGTGAACAGGGCGTGGAAGTACCTGCTGTTGTCACCTTGGATTTTCACCATTGAATGTTGACCTTCACATACATTGGGGTTGCCCTGCAGGCCGTTGCCACCGGGATGTTCCTGGACGGCCTGCCACAGATGCTGACACCACTGGGGCTAGGCGGTGCTGGCGCGGCGGATGTGCAGGCGGGGCTGCGCAAGACGCTGCGGGCGGTGCTGGACGTGCAGGTGGGGGTTGGGACGGGGGTCAAAAATGAACCTCCTCACAGAGGAGCCATTTCTTTTAGTATACTTTCTGAGCTGCAGCGTTGCTCACTCTTCCATGCAGGGCCCTATCCAGCGGCTGGCTGCGACCGTCGAGCAGGCTCGGACAGAGCAAGCCCTATACCTGCAGCGGGCACGGGACAGCGAGGCTGCAGGAGAGTGGAACGTCGAGGTGAGTGCCTCTTAATGGATCGGCGTTGCAATTCCACCCATGCCCCCAATGCCGCAACCCCAGCTTGTCACTGTCTTTTCTGCTTGCCACTTGTGATCACGACCATGAATTGTGTGGTTGCAGGTATACAACTCACCCTCCATTCCCGCAGACGTGCTCCAGGAGGTCAGCCACGGGATGGGCCGCGTGCATGCACTTTTTGATCGCCACTTACACACCTTCCTGACGCTGCTGCCAGCTCAGAGCCATACCCTGGACCTGCGCATGTTCATCGCTCGGTTTGAACCGCAGGCGGGCGTGGCCGAGGCGAGCAGTGGGGTGCCAGCAGGCTCTGAATGAGCGGTCACTGCTTGTTTCCTTAGCATTGACTGCTGTAAGGCTACGGACTTGACCTTTGCACACAAATGATCAAGGAGGCATTTCTGGAAGTGAAAGGAGGCATCATGTTTCTTCATGCATGGCATCCAGCTCTTCCAGGTAACGCTCCGTCTCCCACTGCTCCTCATTGCCGTGCCCAATGTCTATCATGCCGCTGCCTGGCCGCCACACCTTGCCCAGCGCGGGGGCATGATACTTGCCTGGCAGCGTAAACCCTGCAGTGAAGCCCAGCAAACCAACAGCAGCAGGCAACGAGCGAAACTTTGCTGCATCTCTGATGGCAACACCGCGGAACCATAACAACTCCATGCAAACAAGGGCTGACCTGTAAATGCGCGCTGCCGCATGTAGAGCGCCCCCACTTTGGGCATCACGTTCCACGCCACCGTCACGTTGAACTGGCGGTCCCGCAGGTTGAAGCCCTGGTCGGTGACAGCATAGGGGTACTGCGGCCGCAACGCCGGCAGCTTGAGCAACGCATGCTCCTGCGCACAGAAGCAGCCAGGCGGGCAGTGCATGATGCCTTATTGTGTGGAAGCAGGAATGCAAGGCCTGGATTGCATCGTCTCTCATTGCACCTGGTCCTCAATGATGCTGCTCCACATGACCATCTGGTTGCGCGCATTCTTTGCCGTCTCGAACAGCACGTTGACAAACACAAACAGCTGCTTTGTGTTCCAGGTGAACTCGCCGCGCAGATCGGCCGTCAGGTTGAGCACCACGTATGCCTGTGCAAGGCTATCACAGGCGGAGCATACTGACACGGGGAGCAGGGCACAGGGCGGTGGCGGCGGCGCAAGCCGCACACGCGGCAGCATCGCGCACCCGATCGTGCCCAAACTCCTTCTGCAGGCCCTCAGTCCCCACAAACTCGCACGCCACGAAGGCCTGGTTGCTGTAGATGTAGTCTGCAAAAAACGCAGTTTTCCTGGCACCAGCGGGCCTGGCGCCTCTTGAGGGGCACGCACACCCCTCATTACTCACTGTCCGCAATCACCTGTGGCAGTGACGGCGAGACATATGATTGCCAGCACCGTGCCGCCGAATGTTAGAAGGGTGTTGGCCCTACTCAACCAAGACATTGGGCGCTGCAGCAGGAAATGGGCACCAGCCTGTTGGGAAGCAGTGCTGCGGCGGAGAAAGGGATATGAGGAGCTGCGACGGTGACGGAGCGGTGAATCTTGTCGAAATGTATGTCAGCAAGCACAACCGATTGGCAGAATTCTTCCAGTGCGGCCCAGTGCGCGGCAGTGGGCAAAGTACCGCCGACGCCGCACTGCACTACGGCGGCGCCGTCGTGCGACGCCGTAGCCCCAGCATCTACCGTCGCAGTGATCCACGCCAACAGGCAGAAATTCACAAGTGTTTTGGTGTGCAACTCATGGGGGTGAGCAAAGCAGGGGACAATGACCGGCAAGCAGCAACAACTGAGACACATGGCAAATATTCTGGTCCACGCACACTTGCTCGCGGTGCTCCGACATTGAAGATGACGCAGCTGGCCTACACGCGTGCAGATCTATGCTGAGGCGGGCTTGGTCTCGGCGGCGGGGGCAGCGGCGCTGTCATCAGCATCCGCCGACTCGGCAGCACGGGCCATCTCCTCCTGGGCTGCAGCGAAGCGCCAGTCCAGGTCCTGAAAGAATGCAGGGCAAAGCAAAGCAGCATGAGTAAGGAAGGCAGCAATGGCACCTCGCCTGCAGCCCAGAAATCCACCCCTCCAGCCCACCCACCCACCTTGGCCGCATAGATCCACATGGCCACAATGCCAAGCAAGATGAGGCCCAGGTAGGGGGTGGAGGCCGCCAGTGAGCCGAAGCCGATGATCATAAACTGCTGGATCAGAGCGCCACCAGACTTGCCCAGCGGGTTGCAAATAACGTCAATGGCGGCCTTGCCCTTGGTCTGCAGAGGATGGGGGGCGTCCAGGACATGCAGACTTGATGCCAATCGGTGCTCTGGGACACCAAACAAGCCCCCCCCACACACATACCCCCACCCCACGCACCTTGGTCTCCTGGTCCAGCGGGATGTAGGCCATCTCCTTGCAGGGGTCGAATAGCGAGTACTTGGAGGACTTGGAGAAGATGTTCTGCGCCGCGCCCACCAGCACCGCCGCATACAGGGGTGTCAAGCCCAACGCCATCAGACCAGGCTCCAGCGGGCCGCTAAACAGCACCAACGAGAAGAAAATTACACCTGTGTGAAGGGGAGCGAGGCAGAGGCAAAGAGAATGAATTGCAGCGAACAGCAGGTGATCAATAAGACAACCTTTGGCGGTAGCACACGCGCACCAGTCAGCAGCAGCACGGTGGGGGTGATCAGAGCGGCCATGCCCCAACCAAACTTGGAAAAGATCCAGCGGGAGATGATCATCATGGTAAAGGTCACAGCGCCTGCATCATGGGGCAAGCACATGGCAGCAGCAGTGTGTGCAAGTGCCTTAGGAAAGCAGCAAACTGTGCGGCGCTGTTGTTGGCACAAAGCCCCATGCAAGGCACACCAGTGGCGGTGGAGAAGTCGCCCATGAAGGCAGAGTAGTCGTTGGGGTTGGGGAACTGCGCCTTGATCTTGGACTTCCAGGTCACCTCCACCAGGTTGATTGAGATGCCGTAGGCCACCACCTGTGGACGTAGATGAGTACACAAAGTGATTGAGAACACAACTAGAGTCTGGCTGGCAACATGCAACCGATTCGCGCACCAGGAAGGCCAGGTCACGGATATAGGGGTTCTTGGCCAGGAAGGTGAAAGACTCGGCCACCCCCATGGGCTCCTTCTTCTTCTTCTTGTCTCGCTTGGGGATGCTGCCCTGTACGCGCGGCACCACCTGCAGCAGCAGCACGCGCGCATCCAAAGTGTGCTGCTCAAGCCAGCGACGAGCGAGGATGGGACAGATGGCGTCCTGAACACATTCACACTTCTAATCCAATGCCCAAGGAAAGAACGCCCGGGGCCGGCCGGGGCTCGTGCCGCCGCGCCCGCCCGCCTCCACCCCGCTACCACAAACTGCAGCATCCCCAAGACTCACTGTGCGGTTGAGCCACCAGAACACAGCGCTGATGATGAAGCCACCAAGCACCACCATGGACATGAGGCCTCGCAGGGACAGGCCCCAGCCGTCGACGCCAGGCGGCAGGTTGGCACGGATCTGCAAAGGCCAAAACGACCAAAATGGCATCAATCTCCACAACTACGATCTACCACAGTCGATGCGCACAGACACAGCGCCTGTATGGATGCAGTGTCCCGTCCCCCCCTATTCCCCGGGCTGCCCGCAGTCCAACCTCCCCGTTTATAAACCCACCTGCGAGAAGATCTTGACGGCGCGGCCAGAGAAGATGAGCGCCACGTTGGCGCCCAGGCCGAACAGTGGATAAAACTGCTTGGCCTCATCCACAGTGGTGATTTGGTTGGCGAAGCCCCAGAACAGCACCGACACCACCACCGAGCCCCACAGCTCCGCCATGACGTAGAAGAGGCAGTAGGTCCAGTTGCGGATGATGGCGATGGGGCCCGCAAAGCGCGGGCCAGCCTTTTCCAGCAGGTTCTTCGCCCACTCTGCATGTATGGTGCGCACGAGAGGGTACAAAAGTGTGAGTGCTGGTGCACCATTCAGGGATAGATAAACGTGCTAAGTCGTCGCCGCACCAGTGGGGTGCAGCATCTCTTGCATGGGGTACAGCACAAAAGCGAAGGCGCCGAAGAAGGCGATGAAGGGGAAGATGCAGGTGTAGAACAGCTGCTCGTTGTTGAGCACGTTGGCCAGCTGCAAGAGGGAGCAGCAAGCACGATGGGGAGGGCAGCGAGGCAAGCATGTGAGGCATAGGCAAAAACGACAGAAACTATCTAGAATCGAATGGTGCAGTCAACTTGCCTTGGTGTACAGCACGGTGAAGCCGATGGCCATGGGCAGGTTGACCCAGGTCTTGAGGAATGGGATGATCTCGGCGCCGGAGCCTGGGGCAGTCACCACCAGCACGTCCTGCCAGGCAGGCAATGGAGGCACAGCAATGGAGGGTTGGCAACGGAAGTGAGGAAGATGCAAATACAAAGGCTCGGGACATGCTGAGTGGCCAATGCTGGAGCCCTGTAACAGCAGGTTCAGTCGGATTAGGCACCACACCCACCCAAGCCTCACCTTGGTGTCGCGCAGGATGGTGTAGTTGAACAGAATGCTGCATGACGGGAAGGAGAAGGCAGTGTGCGCATCATGGGCTGCCACCCGCTGCGGCGCTTGCGCTGCGGAAGCTCCGCACTCTGCCGGCGCTTGATGCCGGAGGTGCATGTGCTGGCGGCAGCAGTCCTGCAGCACGCCCCATTACTCACCAGAAGAACATGAGACCCAGGGGCAGGATCTTCTGCCAGGTGAAGACCGGCACGCCCAGGAATTTCTTCTCCTCGGCCGCCGCCAGCACCGGCATGTTGTCGGCGGGCGTGGCGCTGGCCTGCACCTTGACCACCCGGCTGGGCAGCTGCGGCAGGCCCTTGATGCCCGTGGCCTTGTGCACCTGCGCCATGAGCGAAACTGGGAACCTGTGCTCGGGGCCTAGCATTCACACAGAACCTGAAGGATGGCGGTCGCTGGCAGCCCAGGCGCGCCCAGTTCTAGGGTGATCGGGACCGCATGCATGTTGGGGGGCGATGGGGGTCGCAGAGCACCCGGTGGGAGGGTCCTCACCAGGGGCTGGGGCACCAGCGCGCGCTTCTGCACCAGGGGCACCGCCCTGATGGCCACGGGGCGGGTGAAGGAGAGCCGGGCCGTGGCACGCACGGGCATGGCCCGAGCACAGCCCAGCGCCGCCATCAAAAGGTCGGTGAGAGAGTTTGGGGTGGGCACGAAGGCAGCGGTGCCGCGGTCTTTTGATGACCAATGGGTGTATGGCGCAATGTGCAAAAGGGTTTGCCTGTCTGCGTAACGATCGGAGGGGCGTGCTGCGTGCTGGGGTCCAGCAACTTGCAAGTCAGCTCAGCTGCATCATGCTCATGCATCTCGTGCTCAAGATCGAAAGCTGAAAGAACTGCCCATTGAGTCACAGAACAGGCGTTGACTTACATGCAGGAATGCACGAGGCAATGGCTCCTCCCCTCGGCACACCCGTC